GTCTTTCTTATTCTGTGAGGGGTGGTGGGCTGGGAGAGGTTCAGTTCATGCCTGTTAACCAACCATATCCATAACTTCTAATCCTCTGTTCATATCAAGCCATTTCCTAGTTATTAATGGGCATCACTGTCAATTCACTGATGGTTATGTTGGGTAATTTCAGTTCCTTCTGAAGTCCCAAGATGGAAAAAGGTAAAGCCTTTCTTCATTATTGGGGTAAAATAGCCTTTCTTTGCCTGAGATATAAATGTTGTTTTCTTGGCTCCTATATTTTTCAACTGATATGCTATAGAAAAACTAATTAAGTACATTGTACGTGTTACGTACTGTTTTCTTGGGAGTGAAGGTGTCCGTTATCAAGTGATACCTGCTTCTAGTCAGCATATAGAATTGTCAGTGTCAGGTCATGGCAGTTTATCATGAGGGGCTTTTTCTACAGTAACAAGTTTTCCTATTTCAATTTGGAATCTTGTAATAGCTACTAAAAATGTTTCTTGACAGGTATATATGCTTTAGGAAAAGTTATTTTGTTTTCCATAGGTGAACTCTATATTTTGGGGATTTTATCTAGAATATTCATTCCTATATTGGTTTTCCAAATTCACTAAGAGCACAAAAGACCAGTGCAAACAGTCAGCATGTTCTGATCCTCAGAGTGTTCCTTTTCTTCTCATTGCAGGAGCCCACAAAGAGAAAAATAAGTGGTATGTATTCTCATTCATTGGCTGAAAAAAAACATGTGTATAAGAAATATGGAGATTATTTGCTGGTGTTAGTCTAGAGACCTATGATAATCCACAGATACCTTGGTGGGGGGGAAGAGGATTGGGGGGTGTAGTAAAAGAAGGTGGCTCCTCAGGTGACAAATTCCCACATCTATGTCCAGTCTCTGGAAACAGATATGTTCACTTGAGGCAGTGTGGTTTTGTGTACATCTGGGTGTGGGGTGTTATGTGTAAGTCTGTGTGATGTGTTTGCGAATGTGTCTCTTGGTGTATGTTTATCTTAGGGCATAGATGTTTTGATTACTCAGCACAATTCTCAATACCATGTTTCTTAAAATTTCACTGTAACTATGCATATCAGGTGGTTCAAATCTCATCACAGCCATGTTTAGTGGGCTTATCGATTATACCCACTTACCAGAGAAGTAAAGTGAGCTACAGAGATAAATATGGCCAGGCTTACTTGCTGCTAAGTGAAATGCCATGATGTGACTCTTTCATATGATCCAAAATTTAAAGCTCTGAACTACAGCCACCAATGATTACCCAGTGAAGCAATTACAGTTATCATGCTAGTGAATTCCAGCATCCATTTCTAAGCCTGGAATTACTCAAGTGTCCAGAGATCCCACACACTGTTCATATAAGAGAACTAAAGTGATGTCATAACCCAGCTAGCAATCTAGGTATCTTTCTGCAGATTTTCACATAGTTTTAGGGTGAAATGATTGTACAGGTTAAACCAAAGATTTTGAAATGCAGGAGACAGTAAGTAAAAAAAAAACTTGGTGCACACATGTCATAGGAGAATCTCTCCTTGACACGTGACTCCATGTTAGGAATTTGGAGGATGTTTTTGAGTATTGGACAAAGTTGTCACCATGAGCCCTGTCACATCCACAGCATAGAAACCGTGGCCACTAAGCACTCACATTACCACTTGGTTATTAGCCTGGTTTCATCATCCTTGTTGCAACACTTTGAAAGCTCTCTTAGACAGCCTTAGTACTAAAACAGTGCCTCCCTCCTTAATGGACAATCCCTATGTTAGCAACTAAGTACAAGCAAGGGTGTCACTACTACACACAATGAATTTCTACGCAGCATTGAAAAGTAAAGATGGACTTCATTATTTACACATATTCAATGATTAATTGTATTCATAACATAAAAGTAATGACTACATGTAATGGAGTGCTGTCCCTAGGATTGAATGTAGTCTCTCAGTAAATGGTTACTTAAAGTTACATGCACAGTCTTATGCAACAAATTATAGCTGCTACAGCAGCAGTTAACACATTCATTTGTAAAGTTGTATGCTCTCAAATTATGCATGTGTCCTAGGCATGAAAGAATGAGTGAGTTCTTCTGTAGTCTAATGGATATCCTGGGATTATGGGTCTAATTTATCTCAATCTAATTACAAGGTCACACGTAAGTACTGACATGGTTTTCTCTAAACATACAGATGTCCCTGAGAAAGGAAAATAAGATCTTTCCAAATGGATTTTGATCTCCATTTGGAGACTTAGGATCTCTCTGACAGCAAGCAGGGTTCACAGAAGAATGAAATGTCACAGAAAGAAATAAATTGGGTAACACAGATGTTTAGAGTATTTAGAATAAAACTTCAAGATGTGTATTTTAAATTGTGTAAAGTGACCATTGAGAAATAACAAATACAAAAAAAAATTTAAATTAACAATGCAAATATCAGGAGCAGGTGATTTTTCTCATTTCTATGAAATACTAAAATAAAGGTAATTCTACTCTTGTGCACACACTTCCAGAAAATAGATAGGGCAAACACAGCCACACTACTTTATCAGCTCAAGAGAGTATTGACAGAAACATTCTTATGAATGTCAAGGTCAAAATCTAAAAACAAACTTTAGCAATCAATAATCAGGCAATTTTTTTAAAAGTCAGATTTTATGGGGAGATTTCCACAAGGTGGGTGAAAAAAGAAACAATGGCTGGGATTACTACTGGACAGATGGCAGAAGAGACAGGGCCATTGGAGAAGGAGTTGCCAGAAAACAGCTATATAGGGGTCTCTCTAAGAGGAGATCTAACTCTGCCCCTCCCCCACAGCATGGATGTGGGGTGTAAAGTGGAAACTGATATGATAAGGATGGAATGAGCAGGGAAGTTGCACATTCAGTGCAGGTGCCGCCACTGCCCATTCCAAGCCAGGCCTTAGTTCAGACTGCACAGATCAGTCGTCAACAAGGCAGTTCAGGCTACAGGCTTATGTTATTAAACTACAAAAGCAGCCGGGCTTGGTGGCTCAGCCTGTAATCCCGCACTTTGGGAGTCTGAGCTGAGTGGATTGCCTGAGCCCGCGGGTTCGAGACCCGCCTGGTAACTTGGCAAGACCTCATCTCTACAATAAATCAAAAATTAGCCGGTGTGGTAGCGCGCACCTGTAGTTCCAGCTACTTGGAAGGCTGAGGCAGAAGGATCACGGGAGCCCAGCAGGTCGAGGCTGCGGTGTCCGGGAGCAGCCACTGCACTCCAGTCTGAGCGAGAGAGTGAGACTCCAACTCAAAAAAACAAAAAACAAAAAAAAGCACCATCCTAAAGGGACACTTCTAATTAGTTCACATCAGCTGCTTACAACTTGCAGCAAGACAAGTTGAGAAGTTTATTATTTGCAGAGCCATGTTGTGACTGTTGTTTTGCAATGTCCTAAGGTCTGAGCAACCTTTGGAGACAAGTAGATGTGGGACATGCAGTGTGGTCATGTGAAGAAACACTCACTGGAAAGCAGCTGACAGGGTGAAGAGAGTGAGATTGAAGGCCACACATTTGTACTTCCAAAGTGCCAACAGAGGAGTTCCTTCAGAGGAAACAGTCATATTTGGCTTCTGGACTTTGACGGCACAGGAAAAAGAATACGTTATGAATAGGCCCTGCCTTTATCTCAGGCATCTCCTCCAGGGCGTCCGATTGTGGCTTCATAACACTTGGGACAGGAGAACTGGGAAAGAATACAGAGAGCAGATGTTCTCTTAGGCCATGAGCTACAGTTTTCATTTGTTCAGGAATCTCGATCTCTAGGGAGCCAAGTGCATTTCCCGTGCCAGTTCCTTCACACATCACTATTGGGAATCTGCAAATCATGTAACACTTCTAAATGTCAGTATGTTCATGTGGAAAATATAACCTACAGCCTCTCTCCTCCACCCAGTAGGATCAGTGTGGGGATCACAGTAGTTGATACCAGATGTTCTCCATGAGCTGTGAGGCACCATACTCATGTGCAAAATGGAAAGCCTTCCAAGCACTGTCTGTTCATAGTCACTCTTTTCAAATGTCAAGCTTATTTCTCCTGGCATCTAGTGAACACTTAAGGACCACTACTGAAGTACCAATACTCTTTCTTAAGAGATTCCTGCATTTAGTCATTTTTATACCCATATTCTGATACTAACAAACAGACCCTATGAAAATTTTTATATGACAATACAGATAACAGAGCAGAGGGATTGTATGACCATCTGAAATTCATGTTGCTGTAAGTGGGATTTGGACCCAGACCCTCACTCTGCGCAGGTCCCACAGTCTCAGTCACTCTGCTCTGCTGCCTTTCTGTACTGCCTCATCTAACGAAGACATTGCCTACACAGTCTGATAGGTAGATTAAGAGTTCACTGAGCTCCATGCTCTTCCTCAAGCCCAAGATTGAATCAGGTGGCTCTGCTTGGAAGCCAGTAAACAATGGGATCACAGTTTAAATTGAGAACAAATTATCACTCATTTCTCTCTGGTCTTCTGGCAGCAAGATATTAGCAGTTGTATTGTAAATGTGTTAACCATGTTCCTCTCTGAAAGGTGTTAACACCTGCAAGCAACGGTGTGGGAAATTGTTCAGATACTGTAAAGAGGTCTATGAAGATGACCGAGTGCCCCCTAAGATGGGTACTATGGAAGTTCATTAATGGACTCAGAAATAATAATTGTGAATTATTCAGTGTCTGGATATAATTATGAGGAAATTATGAAAATGTTAAGCCATACTTTTTTTTTTGAGTTGGAGTCTCACTCTCTCACCTAGGCTGGAGTGCAGTGACATTTTCATGGCCACCCCAGCAATGACCTGCTGGGTTCTGGTGCTCCTTCCGCTTCAGCCTTCCAAGTAGCCAGAACTACAGGCACCGCATTACCACACCCAGCAATTTTTTTTTAAATTGTAGAGACGAGGTCTCACCAAGTTGCCCATGCTGGTCTCAAACCCACGGGCTCAGGCAGTCAATTCACCTCGGCCTCCCAAATTGCTGGGATTACAGACTGAGCCACCGAGACTGGCCAGAAACCATACTTTTTAACATGTCAAAATTTTAATTTGCCTAACCACTAAGTACTGCTGCTATCAAAAAATTAAATATACATTTCAAAGTCAGTTTTGGTTCACATTTAATGTAAGACAACATTTCAAGTTAATGTATTGGTGTTACAAGATTGTTGAATTTTAGCACAAAAAGAACTTACTGAAACTGGTGCTGTATTCTTTTCTCAAATTCATATAATTTGTTAGTTTTAGATTTATATAACAATTGAGCAAATAATACACAAAGTTCCCATATCATTCTATCCCCTCACTGCCACCTCATAATTCCCTCTGTTATTCACATCAAATACATTACTGTGGTATGCTTCCTGAAAGTCATAAGCAAACATAGATACATTATTATCTAGTCTACCATTTACAGAGCATTTTTTCTCTTATAGATTTCTATGAATTTCGAATATGTTATGCTTACTATTTTAGTCTCAGGCAGAATAAGTTCACAGTTCTAAAAACCCCTTGTTGTTCACTTCTTAAGTGAAGATGGGAACTCAAGTGTATGGTTCCAATGCTGAGGCTCTGAACTACTCACATTCCCTCATCACTCAGTTGTGGGATAATTAGCCACTATACAACAAATTTCCATCATCTATAGGTCTGGAATTGTTTGACCCTATAAAGTTCCTACACAATATCCACGCTATAAGGTGGTGCCAGGGTTCACATAGTCCTGGGCAAGCATTAGTGCATTCATAGTGAAGGTCTTTATATGAAAAGCACATACAAAGCTCAAATGCCTTTGGACAGTGTGCAGATTTTGACAGTTGGGAGACACTACTAGGGGCAACTGGTCAAAATCATGCAGTGCTGGGTCACTCCTCAGCACATGTCCCAAAACAGATAAGTGACCGGAACACATTTTATTGATATTGGAGGGCATTAGAAGTATGAGCACTATGTGCTTAAATACCTGTGAACTGCACAACCTGAGGATAAGGACAAAGAAGAACACAAAATACCACTTTTTAATTAGTCTCGTCTTTGCCCTTATTGCAAATCTCTTGTACAAGTGAGTTAAATATCCTGAAGTGAAATGTGTAAGCCATAGCCCTCCTCTGCCCACCCCTGCAGGCTGATCTGGGGATCACAAGTAGATGATGTCAGATGTTATCCGTGAGCTGTCAGGCATCATACCCATATACAGAATGCAAAGAATTCTTCCATTCTCCACAGCTCTGGTGCCATCCAAACACCCTCTCCATATTCACCCACTTCTAAATGTCAATGTTATTTCTCTCAGTATTTGGTAAACTTTAACAGAGCACTACTGAAGTACCAGTTCTTTTAAGATTTTCCTGCATTTAGTTAATTTATCCCCATAATGTAATACTAAATGCTCTATTCAATCACTAACATTACATTGCAGAGAACAGAGGGCAGAGGGCAGAGGGATTGCATGACCTTCTTAGGTTCACGTGGCTCTAAGTGCAAATTGGACCCAGGCCCTCACGCAGTAAAGATCCCACACTCCCAGTCACCCTTCTCTGTGGCCTTTCTGCATCATCTCATCTACACGAAGGCATTGCTGATAGGTGGGATAAGTGCTCACTGAACTCCATAATCTTTTTGAAACCCAACTTTAATTCAGACAGCTCTGCTTAGAATCCAGGGAACTATGGTGTCACAAGTTTAATTCAGAATAAATTATTCCTAATTTTGCTCTGATCTTCAGCCAGCAAAATATCAATAGCTCTCTCTCTTACAAATGTATTTCCCAGCACCAACATCAAAAGGGAATTTGACATCTTTCCCACTGGGCTGCTTCTTCCTCAGGAGGAAATAAAAAACCACCCAAAAAGGTACTGTATTGCTTAATTTACAAATATTTTGGGATTTTCTGTCTGTCTTCCTTTTGTTGGTTTATACTTTCATACCACTGTGGTCTGAGGCATAATTGGCAGGATTTCTATTGTCTTAAAATTAGTTAGAATGTGTTTTAAGGTCTAGAGTATGGTCGCTGTAAATTTTCCATGTGAATTTGTTATTTAAATTTTACAATCATGGGGTACATATATTGTTGTTACATGGTTATATTGCATAAAGACAAGATTTGGGCTTCTGAAAAGCCCTCCCAACCCTGAGTGGTGATCATGGTATCCAGTGAGTAGCTTTGTATCCCTTTTCTTTCTCCCTTCCTCTCTACTTTAGTTCCAGGTGTCTTGTTTCCATTCTTGAGCCCATGTGTGCCCAGTGTTTAGGACCTATTATGAGTGAGAACATTCAGTGTTTAGTATTTTGTTTCTGTAAAACATCACTAAGAATTATGGTCTCCAGCTGCATCCGTGTTGCTGCAAAGGACATGATTTTGTTGTTCTCTGTAGCTGTGTAGTATTCCATCATTTATATGTACCACATTTTCTTTATTCACTTCACCTACAATGGGCATCTGGGTTGGTTCCATTATTTTGCTATAGTGACTAGTGCTACAATAAGCATACAGGTGCAGGTGTTTTTGTTGTTTGTTGTGGTTGCACAAAAACTTTTCAGCTTGATAAGGTCCCACCTGTCAATTTTAGTTTTTGCTGCATTTTGCTGAGAACTTGTCCATGAATTCATTGCCTAGGATGTCTAGGATGATACTAGCTTCATAGAATGAGCTAGGGAGAATTATTTTCTTCTCGATTGCCTGGAGTACTTTCAATGGGATTGATATCAGTTCTTATTAAATTCAGCTGAGAAACCATCTGGCCCAGGACTTTTATTGGCAAGGAGGTTTTTTAGAACTGAGTCGATTTGTTTTCTTTTTGGTCTGTTTAGGGTTTCAGTCTCTTCCTGTTTCAACCTTGGGAGGATATGTGATGCCAGGAATTCCTCCATTTTTTCCTAGATTTTCTAGTGTATTTGCATAAAGATAATTGTAGTAATCTCTGTTAATCTTTTTAATTTCTTCAGGGTCAGATGTGACATCATTGTTTTCAACTCTTATTTTGTGTGTGTCTGTGTGTGTGTGTGGTTTTTTTGTTTGTTTGTTTTTGGTCTCTCCGGCTGGAGGGGGGTCTATCAACTTTATTTATCCTTTCAAGGAACTATCTTTAGGTCTTGTTGATCCTATCTGTGGTTTTTTATTTTTTTATTCAATTGTGACTTTATTTTAGTAATTTAAATTTTTCTAGTAAATTTAGATTTTAATTGTTCTTGCCTTTTTAGCTCCCTAGTGTGATGTTAGACTGTTTACTTGAGATTCCTCTATTTTCTTAATGTGCGTGAGCAATGGTGTAAACTTCTCTTTCACCATCAGTTTTATGGTTTTGATATGTTGTGTCTTTGTTTCATTTGTTTCCAAGAATATTTTTATTTCTGCCTTATTTCTGTGTTAACCCCAAAGTCATTCACCCGCATGTTATTTAATGTCAACGTATTTGTGTATTTTGGGAGGTTCCTATTGGTGATGATATTTATTTTTAGTCCACTGTGGTCTGAGAAGATTGGTATTATTTCAACCTTTTGGAATTGTTAATGCTTGATTTATGCCTGAGAATGTAATCATCTTGGAGAATGTTCCATGTGTTGATGAGTAAAATGCATACTCTATTATTGTTTTTTGGTGTTCTGTAGATGTCTGGTGGGATTAGTTGGTTGAGGGTTGAATTAAGATTCCAGATTTTCTTGTTATTTTTTTGCCTTGATGATCTATAGGGTGTTAGTGAGGTATTAAAACTCTGACTATAATTGTATGGGTTATCTA